CCCGGAGTCCCGAGACCCCCGGCACCCCTAGTACGACCCCCCATAGCCCACAGGCCTCAGCAGCCCGTTCCCGTGCTCCTGGGCGCCCAGGATGGGATTCGGGGGGACACACGCATCTGCTTGGGGGCTGGGAGAAGGGGTGAACCCGGTCTGCATTTGGAGGTGCAGCCTGCAGGTCCTGCACAGTGAGGCCCAGTGGCTGTGAAAAGAGGCAGGAGGGAAAGGGGAGCCATGGGCATTCAAAATACAAGCCGGGGTGCAAAATAGAAGTGTGAGTGAAAAACAGAAACCGGCAGCTAAAAAAACAGGGCTCGTAACAGAAACGACGGTATAAAACAGAGCGAAACTGGAGTGACAAACAACAGAAACAAGAGCAGAAAAACAACCCGGGCGTAAAAAACAACTCCAGGAAGACAAATGAAAACCTGCGTGCAGAGAAAACACGGGTGCAGAACCAAACTAGGGTACAGAACACACCCCGAGGTTGCAGAACAACAACTGCGGAGTGCAGAACAAACCCGGGGTACAGAACAACACCCCGGAGTGCAGAACAGCCCCCAGAACAAAGCGGAGGTACAAAACGAACTCGGGGTACAGAGCAAAACAACCCCAGGGTGCAGAGCCAACCCGATGTGCAGAACATGAAATCTAGAGTGCAACAGAATGAGCTTGTGGTGCAGAACAAATTCGGGGTACAGAACACGCCCTGGGTGCAGAACACCCACCAAGGGATGCAGAGCAAACCTGGGGGCCACAACAAAACCGGGGCGTGTAACAAACTCGGGAGCACTAAACACCAGCACCCCGGGCAGTCCGGGGCTCAGAACAAGCCCGGGTCGCGGCCGGGGCTCGGACCGCTCCAGGGGCCCGGCGGCCCCGCCCGGGTTACATAACGGCGCAGCGGGGGGCGCCCCCCCGCGGGCACGGACGGCACTGCAGCGGCTGCGGCGGCGCTCTGCGGGGCTTGGGCGGAGCGGCGGCCCCGTGCGTGTGTGCGTGTGTGTGTGTGTGTGTCTGTGTGTGCGTGTCTGTGTGTCTGTGTGTCTGTCTGTGTGTGTGTGTGTGTGTGCGTGTGTGTATGCATCTGTGTGTGTGTGCATGTGTGTGTGTGCACGCGTGTGTGCGTGTGTGCGTGTCTGTGTGTCTGTCTGTGTGTGTGTGCGTGTGTGCATCTGTGTGTGTGTGCATGTGTGTGTGTGCACGCGTGTGTGCGTCTGTGTGTGTGTGTGCATGTCTATGTGTGTGTGTGCATGTCTGTGTGTGTGCGTGCACTCAGAGCAGCATCCCTGTGTGTATGTGTATGCACGTACATATGTGTACGCCCTCAGAGCAGCATCCCTGTGTGTATATGTATGTATGTACATATGTGTAGCCCTCGGAGCAGCATCCCTGTGTGTATATGTATGTATGTACATATGTGTACGCCCTCAGAGCAGCATCCCTGTGTGTGCACTCACGTGCAGCCCCGGTTCACGGCGGGTCCTTCCCAGTCCACAGAGGGATTTATACACAGAACACGCGGGTCTCCTCCGAGAAGTAGGAGCAGGGCCCCTAAACCCCCCCAGCACCCCAGAGGCTGGAGTGGCACTGCCCACCCGGTGCTGCCTCCACGGCCCTTGGTCGCCCACCTATCTCTGCCCTCCAGATCTGGGGCAGCCTTGCTCAGTGGCTGCTGCTGCCCCTGGCCCCGGGGGCTCATCCCCTGCTGGGCACGGCAAGGCTGATGCTGGACAGCAGATCCCACACTCGGCACAGTGGCCAGGAAAGAGTCAGTGCTGGCAGGGCACGTGCACTCCGGGGCTGCTGCAAAGGACACTGATCACCCCGATCCAGGGGTACTGAACGTGGCTGGCACTTGGCTGTTGGGACCTGACTCCTGGATGTGATGCTGTGCCCCTTCCTCGAGCAGGGAGGGAGGAGCAGAGTGCAATTTCCCCATCAGAAAGGGAAACTGAGGCACAGTGCAGCACAGCTGCTGCTGCTGCAAGCAGGACCTAGCCAGGCAGCTCTCCACGAATTGCAGCCCCATCCCAGAGCAGGATGAGGATGCTGTGCTGTCTGCAAACCACAGCCAGGGCACATGTGGGTTTGATGTGGGGATGTGAGAAATCATTTTCTCCCTGGTGGGCCCATCTGGAACCTGTGGAGGGGGATTATGCACATCCCCCTGTGTCAGCACCACTCCAGTCCAAAGCTGCCGTACAGGGGCTGAGCAGGGAGCTGGCACTGAAGAGAATAGCCAGGTGTCTGTCCCCCAAGCCCCGAGGCTGGCCTGTGCTCCTCCCCTCACCCACACCAGGCCCCACTTACCAGTCCCTCCTTCTGAAGAGGCTCGGGGAGTAGGGGGGCTGGAAGGCCATGCCAGCCCGGACCCTGTTCCAGCCCCTCTGCTCCAGCAGCGATGCTGGCTCTGCCTGTGGTGCGTCCCCCCAGCTTGCAGTGGCACAGACAGCCGGGGTGCCGGCTGCACCCAGGGGCTCCAGCCACAGGGTAAACATGCTGGGAGATGACCTCAGCTGCACTCAATTGGCCCTTTCAAGGCCAATGGCCAGTGTGCCATCCCGAGCTGCGCGGGTGCCCCCCTCCCTGGGGAGATGAAAGGCCTCTGTGTGCACTTGTCCCCAGCGTAGCTCGTGGTGGGCTTGGTGGCAGCCCCTGGGACACAGCTTTGTCCCCCTGCTGGGACAAGTCCAGACCACCCACACCAGGGGTCCTTTGACGGAGTTTGCCACTGCAGCTCATGAAGCATGCTGGTTTCACCAGGGAGAAGACAGGAGAGCTGGGGAGAACATTTCCTCCCACAGTTGTGCCGCCTCCTGTCTTCTGCAGAGAGGTGTCAACAGCAGGGAGATGGGGTGGGCAGACCCCAGCCTGCCCCCAGCCCTGGCAGCTGTGCCTGTGTCCCCATCCTGTGATATGGCCCCCCAGTCCTGGCTCAGCCTGCTTCCCAAAGGAAGACCCACGTCATGATAGAAGGGACCAAGGGCTCCAGAACCAGCAGACCACAGCCTGGCTGGTGGTCCTTGTCTCACAGCTTGAGGCTCCTGCTCCCTACCTGGTACCTTTCTGATGCAGCACTCAGGCACCAAGGACTGAGAAAAAACCCCAAATATTTCTGCAGCTGCTGGAGCGCAGCCAGAAAATGCTTTGTGGGGGGAATTGCTTCAGCTCTGCCACCTCCAAGATTTTTCCCATGGAGCTGGGACTATTGCAGAAATAAACGGGAGTAAGTGACTGATTTCCCTGCAGTCCTCCTGGGTCCTTGCACCCAGCCCTGCCCACATCACTGCTCAGGGCAAGGGCTCCTCACTTAGGCTGGGCAGGATGCTGTTGGCCTTCAAGAGGCCGCAGTGAGGGATGCTCTGGAGGGATGAAGAAGCAGAAGTTTCTTTCCTGGCACTCAGTAAATGAGGGATCCCTACGCAGCCGGTGGCCAGGGCAGGTCAGGCTGGGCAGGGGGCTGCAGCCCCCCTCACACCCCACACCCCACGTGGGGGCAGGGCTCCCAAACGTGTCGTGGGGTGCACACACAACCACGGTGCACCTCGCAGCCCCTACAAGCAAGTCCTGCCTGCACACGTGCGTGCACACACGGCACACCCACACGCCCACGGCCCCTGCATGCACACGTGTGTTTGCAGCCCACACGAGCGTGTGCTCTGCTCACAGGGGCACGCCCTGCACATGCATGTGCACATTGGTGTGCACATATGCAAGCACATTAGTTTAGGACCTGTAGCTGATGATCTTGAGGGTCTTTTCCAACCTGAATGCCTCTGTGACCCTTTGACACTCACTTGGTGTGCCAAACACATGCTGCTGCTCTGCGTGCAGATGCACAGCCCTGCCTGCACCCCAGCACAGGGCAGCTCCACGTGCCCCTGCAAAGCCAGAGGGCACTCCCAGCGCTCAGGAATCACCTGCAGCCCTGCTGGCACCTCCACAGTGGGAGCAGCAGCTCCAGCTCTGCTGGATCCTGCTTTGTTCCAGCTCTCCCCAGGAGCCCCTCTGAGCTGCCCCAATGCCCCCACAGCAGCAGGGTCCTACATGGGGCTCCAGCTGTACCCCAAGTGGTGGAGGGAGCCTCTCCTAGCACACCACAGCCCTGGCCTTGCCAGGCTGCTAGCAGCCACCTCCTCTCCCACCACCTGCTCCTCCAAGCAGAGCAGGGTGGGCAACACAACACCTTGTTCTTCCTAAAGAGCCACCACGGACTCACAGCTACCCTGTGGCACCAGTGACGGGCACTGGAGCAGGCTGGGCGAGAGGTGGTGAACCCCCGAGGCAGCAGCATGGCAGCTCCTGCCCTTACCCACAGTGACAGGAGCTTCAGCAGGCCAGGCCCGGCTCGTGCCTGTGGTTATTC